CGGCTCTCGTACTGGATGTCGAATTCGGACAACTCTAGCGACCATTTAAGCATCATACCGGCCATATCTGGACGACCTAACAGTTGCTTTATGGGCTGGTCCGTGCGTACCACGATTATGTGGGCCAGAAAGTAGTGCCTTAGCCTTCTCGCAGCGTTGATAAGGGCTAGGGCCACCTTCTCTATCAGTTGGCACCTTAGCTCTGGCCCTTGAAGTGCCTTGCTCGTGAAGTAGATGGGCTTCTGCCCGTATGGTATTTCATGAATGAGGGTGGCGCTAACAGTCTTGGTTGCGACAACGAGGTAGAGATAAAAGGTTTCTCCGTTATCTGGATGGGAGAGGACTAGTGGCTCTGATATAGCTTGTTTCAGGTGGAGGAGGGCTTTGTCGCATTCCTCCTTCCATTCGAACACGGCCTCCTTGCGGAAGAGTTTGAAAAAAGGAGGGCGTATTGGGCAGACTTGGCCATGAAACGGGATAGCGACGCGAGCATCCCGTTTAGGGACTGGATGGAATTTTTTGAGTTCGGTGTGGGGAATTCGGAGATGGCTCTGCACTTGTCGGGGTTAGCTTCAATTCCTCATTCGGTTAGATATAAACAGAGGAACTTGCCCGCTCGCACCCCGAACGTGCACTTCTCCGGATTAAAGCGCATCCTGTACTTCCTGGCCTGCTCGAAGACCTTCCTCAAGTGGGCAGTGTGATCGGATTCCTCGTGGGACTTCACAATCATGTTGTCCATATAGACTTCAAGCATGTCCCCGATTTCTCCTCGGAAGACTTTGTTCATCATCCTTTGGTAGGTAGCGCCGACATTTTTTAAGCCGAAGGGCATTACATTGTAGTAATAATTGCTCGATTCGGTCATGAAGGTCATGTACCTTTTATTTCTTTTTTCCATGGGTATTTGGTTATAGCCCGAATATGCGTCCATGAAAGATAACAATTTAAAACCGACAGAATTATCAACTAGTTTATCTATATTGGGGAGGGAATATGCGTCTTTAGAGAAGACCCTATTAAGATCAGTATAGTCAATGCACATTCGCCATTTTCCATTATTCTTTTTCACGAGTACAACATTGGACAACCAAGTGGTGTACCTGGTTTTCGAGATAAAGTTTGCCTCTAGGAGGTCTTTTACAGCTTGTTCGGCAGCCTCCGTCTTCTCCGGAGATTTTCGTCGTCTACATTGAGATACAACCCTAACGGCGGGATCAATAGTGAGGTGGTGATAGGCCACACCAGGGTCTAGCCAAGGCATCTCCGCGACACGCCACGCGAACAAATCTGCGTTCTCCCGGAGGCAGGCTCTCAATTGTCTCTTGTGGAACTGAAAATATTTCGACTTGTCAGTGTTTGGTTTGGATGGTACTGCTTCGGAAACCGGACTCCCGCATGCCAGAATTCTGAGTTGGCACATTGAGGAAGGATCTTCTCCCGAGATACTGTCAGAGGAGTATACTCGTGGAACCTGCCGGAGGGCCCTTTGTTGTCCCGGGGATCTCGGGGACGGTCTTCGCGCCTTCTATCCCCTCGACGAGACGTTGAGGGCTCGTCGGACCTAGAGGGTCGGGCATTCTCACGATGACTCGAATCTCGGGCATAACTGGCGGTCTCCTTCTCTTCGTACTAGATGTACGCTTGTGCTTTGAGGAGGAAGGCGTCCAGTGTTGTTGGGGGCTGAATGCCTACAGCTTTAGCAAACTCCGTGCAGGGATGAAGCCCGTGTCGAGCAGAAATTTCTTCATGTCATCGGTCGTGGAGATCTGGACAACCTCCTTATTGAACCTTTCGATGTAGGCTCGCAGGGGTTCATCCCTCCTTTGAATGATGGCCTCAAGGGAAGCTTCGGTCTTCGGGTGTCGGCGAAAGGTCGTGAAGTGTCTGGAGAACATTCTCCCCAGCTGCCTTCATGAAGTGATGGAATCATTGAGGAGTATTTTGTACCAGGTCATTGCCTCTTTCTTGAGTGTGGTCGGGAACAACCTACATTTGATGACGCCTAGGACGCCACGGTAATCGAGTAACACATCAATATTTTCGATGTGTTCGTCGAAATTCGTAGTACCGTCGTATGTGCCCAGTGAATGGGGCTTCTCCAATCCCTTTGGCAGGCGCATAGCCATAATCTCTTGGGACAACGAGCCGCGAGGCTCGTCGTCACTGCTGCTGGACCAAGATGGGGAGCGGGTGTCCCGTTTGTAGGTAGGATGGCGATCTCGACGGGGAGATGGGGTTCGTGCTCGACCCTTGGATCTGGGCGGAGGCGAACACTAGGACTCTTCTCGGTGATCTCTTATGGTCCTCTTGGGTTGCGGGTATGTTGGTTCCGAGGAAAGATGTGGTTGCGCTTCCTGACGGTCTGGGTCTCTAGTTCCGGAGGTGTCCGACTGGGGAGGAGGACTCTGTGGTCTTTGACTTCTTTCCTCGGTGGAGGGGATCTTGGACGACTGAATTCTTCTAAGGCTCCAATCCTCATGCTCTGATTGAGGATTAAGAGGTTGATCTTATTGAGAATCTCGAGGAGAGCAGCCATGGTTGAGTCGGCACTGGGCAGAGTTGTGTATCGAGGTGAATATTAAATATATGACCCTCTCAAACGAGAGGGTTTTTATAGTGCCCCTAGCGCTTGGCCACTGGTCCCTATTTTCGGGGCGAGATAATTATTTCCCAAAGAATAGGTAACTGCCAGAACTAGCGTTGGAACGGACAGAGATGCCTATAACTAGTCGTTGCTACGGGCACATCGTCTTGGCTGTTTCTGGATGGTGGAACCGTGCATGATGGGTAAGTCTTGTCGAAGAGGAGTATTGGCTCAGGGGTAAACCGATCAACCTCCCCTGTTGGAGGGGCAGAAAGATAAATGTCTTCCCCTACTTAGTTAGACTTAGGCAATTGGGTCGTTCTGGGAGCAGAAGAGGATTGGGTCATTCCTAGCCATTGGGGCAGTCCGGAACAACATATATTATTGAAGATCAAAACATAGTTGAAATCACAAGTTTTTTTAAAAATTATATTTCAAAATTTTTTTTTATGAAAAGCTATTTAAAATAGCTTCAAAATTAAGTGATTTTTTGAAATTTTAATATCCAAATTGTTTTTCAATAAAATGATGATATATCTAAAATCACATTTTAAGAATAACTATTCAGGCCAAATTTTTATTTGAAACTTTTATGAAAAAAAAATTTGTAAATTTTTTTCCACAAAATCATGTTATATTATAAAAATTATTTTTAAAAAAGAGAAAACAAACGAGTTCGGACCCTAAATAAAAGTTACTTAAATGACATAATTTAAGAGGATGTGACTAATTTGTCACAATGATTTTTGAGGGATGAAATAACAAAGAATTAATTTTGTAGTTCAACCTTAAAAAGATTTACCCCCGACAAATTCATCATCTCGAACCTTAAAAAAGGATTTTGACCTCATGAAAAAAAAGACATAGTGTTGAGGAGTATTGTCTAGTGTTTTAGAGATTTTGCAGAAAACTTCATAAACTTTAAGAGTTTGTTTGCCAGTTTTGAAGAGATATGGGGATGGTATGAAGGAGGTTTGAAAGAAAAAAAAAATCTTTAATATTTTTTGAGATTGTGTTTTAATTTTAGAACGATAAATTGTTATTTATCATTAACATAATTTTAGTTTTTAAAATATTATAACTACATAAAATATATTTGAAAATTTTATATAAATCTTTCTAAACTCTCTAAATTTCTCCTCCAATATAATTTTTAAATTTCCCAAATTATGGACATTTTGTATCATGAAAAAAAATCTCACAAAATCCTCTCTGTCCAAATCCCTCAATTCTTTCTACACACATTTTTTCTTATTTCAAAATATTATCCTCTCTTTCTTTCCAAACTCCCAAACAAAACTTAGAGGGTGTTTTTATTATTGGAATACATTTTTTATAACTATATATAAATGCAGTCAGATTATCCAATAACAAAACAAATGCCTGAATTTGAATAAAGAAAGACACGTTCAAATGCCAGTGACTATGTATTTAGCTTAATTTTATACAGCTTGGGTAAAGTACTTGACCCGAAGTTCGTTATGTCTTAATCTACTATAGTTAAGATCACTGTCATGTTTTTGGATATAAAACACTGGTAAAGAGTCCTTAGTGAGTAAGCAGCAAAGCCAACAACAGCAAGGAGAAATAGAGCATAGGTTAAATACTTCATTGCAATATCAACATACTTTTTGTCTTATTCCCTGCATATGATTTGTTAATCTGGGGGAAATTGCATATTTCATATAAAAATAATTAAGGAGCAACACGATTTGTGGAAGTAGACAAACTTAGAAAGTAACTACAATGTGCATCTGCCTCACTCAGAAATGATAAAACAGTCATTAGAAAAGGAAGATCTAAGAAAAATATTATCCATACATTGTTTATTTGTAAAAACAATGTTAATTTTTAACGATAGTAATCTTGATTTCTGTAATATAGTCAATGGATTCTACATTTAAGAATGGAGATAGTATAATTTTACAAGTTTAGAGAATAACAGACCTTAAGTTCATGATGATCCTCAACTTTAATCATGCTTCCGTAACTACTGTGAACCTGGAAGGACCAATCAATATGCAGGCATAAATGTCATTCCGTCTTGCTAATAGGATCAACATCCAGATTAAGTGATAGTTCAGTTCCTGTCTCATTCAAAGCTATCAAATTATACGACAGTAAACAGAACTCAGTGAAGAAAATAGTTGGATAGTAAACTACTATTTGGGGAAAAAGTAGTTCTCAGATATAGGAAACTACTATAATTGGGGAAAAAGTTAGAATTAACTTGATCAATCCAACAATTCAACCAAATCTAACACATTTGATTCAATATCATACAGTTGAATCCTTGAATAGTCGAATCAATTTATTTCACAAAACCTAAATCACCTGATAATTGAATGTGAAACTTAATTATTCTTTTCTGTTAAAATTTTGCAATCTCTTGTTCTGTACTCTGTAATGAGTTTCAGATTTTACTAGTAATAGCAGGAAGATATTTGGTATGACGGCCCTGAGCAAATATTTGGCCAGTCTTTTTCTTCCTCAAATCCACGCTTATAACAGCTATAGTCTTTCCTACTCGCAGAACTCTTGCATCAATTTCAATCTCCTCCTACCATGACATAAACCATATGAAATTAAAAACAAACATTTTTGTGATATCTTCATCGCACAGATTCAGTTATGTATTTGATATCACAGATAATTAGGTTAATTAAGACGATGGATTATAGATAGTTAGATACGAACATGAACATATGCAGCATCCAAGCATGATACGTTGATCTCGAGGGAAACTCCGGAATCCCATGGAAAACCAGCGGCGGGAACTGCGGCTGCGCCTACCACATCTACCAGAGTAGCGATGGCACCACCGTGTAAGTACTTAGCTGAATTCTGCGAGTTAGGTCAAAATCTAAATTAAAACAAAATTAATTGAAGAAGATTGAAGAGAGAAGGATACTATACGAACGAGTAATCGTGGCGGTATCTTCATGGAGAAGACGACACGGCCAGGTTGAATGAGATCGAGGCGTAGGCCGTGAAAGACCAGAGGTTCTAAAAACTCTTTGGGAAATTCGTCATCTTGCTTTGAATTTGACGCTTCTCGTTTCTGCAAGTATCTCTTCACTGATTCCAAATCCGTTTTCTTTCCTTCTATTTTCACCATTCTGTTATCTTCTTTTTCTTTTTCGATTGTTTTGCGCGTTCACCGACTCATACAACTAGTAGACAAATTTAGCAAAAACATAGATACGCATGTTGATTTTAATAGATTATACGATTCTCCAAAGTCAAACTACATTTTATTTGGTAAGGTATCGACAATTATAGTACAGAATTAGATTTATGAATTAAATGAGAAAAAAAATTAAATTTGTTAAATAAATGAATTGAATTTAAATTTTATATAATTTAATTCGTTTAAGTTGATAAATTAACTTAACTATATACTAGAGGGATTATATTTTAAGAGTAAACTTAAATATGGACTCCAAATCTTATTCTTAAAAATTTTTTAATCGTAGTTGATAATTTATATTCTTAAGTGAACAAAATATTTTAAAAATAATTATATAAATAAAATTAATAATATATAAATTATGTTTTTAAGAAAATAATTTAAAAATTAACATATATTTTCTAATTTAAAAAATATCATCTAAATTTGTTTCAATTTAAAAAAATCAAATATATCTTTTAACTTTATTTTAATTTAAAAAACATGTATTCTAAAAAAATCCACATCATATAAAAATATCTTTCAATTAAAAAAAATACATATAATTCAAATTTGTTTTAAACTACCTTTAAGAAAATAATGCTTTTAAAACTTTTTTAACATATACCTTTATATTATTTTTAGAATTTATTTTAATTAATTTAAAAATACAATATTCTCTAATCTCATAAATTTTATTTTATTTTAAAATATATTAATTTAAAATATTAAAAATATAAAAATATAGACTTATAAAAAGTGCCTTTTAAATCCATAAAGCAAACGAGATAAATCTAACGAATTAAACCTAATTGTTCGTGAATTTATAACGAATCGAGTTTAAGTTTAAAAAAACGTTCATGTCAGACTCAAACTGAAATTTGAGTTGAACCAAGTTGTTTGTGAACTTACAACGAGTTGAGTTTAAACTTAAAAAAACATTTGTGTCGAAATTAAATTGAAATTTGAGATGAACCAACTTTTAAGAAATTGAGTTGCGCTCAGACGAGTTCGACTCGACTCATTTTCAGTCTTAAATTGTAAATAATACGAGGTAGAATTAAACATGATAAATCCATTTTATTTTGGTTCCATCGAATTTTCTATTTTTATTTTCATCCAATTTTAAATGAAATAAAATATTTAAACAATAAAATATATTAGGTTTAAATATATTTTTATCCTTTAATTTATTTTAATTTTTAATTTCTTCATTTTAAAATTCTGCATAGGAAAAAAATTGTTTTAATGAGTTGGCAATAGGATAATTTATTTATTTCAAAAATTAATTAACATAAATTTTAAAAGAAAATATTATAGGTTTATAGGTCCACTTCTTGAAACTTTTTAATGAGTTGGCACTAGAATACTTTATTTTTTAAAAAATAAATTTAAATGTACTTTTAGTTCTTTTATTTATATTTTTTTTTAATTTTTAGTCCCCTCATTTAATATTCAGCTATTTGGTCCTCCAATTTAACTTTGACTAGTTTTTTTTTATCCCTCCAAAATTTGGTATACATGGCAAGTAAAAAGGCTGAGTTAGCATAGAATAGTTGGCGCCGCGTCATAAATAAAAATTATTTTAATTCTAAAATTGTTTTATTAATAATATATAGTATTTTAATTTATAAAAACAAATTAAAACCACGTAATTGAATCAGAATCCCTAAGTTTCATTCTTCACCCGTGTCCCCTTGTATCATTGTTCATTGTTCATCCTCCTTGTTCATCCACTTTAAGCTTTCATCTAGTTTCGTTGTTCAAGGTGTTCAAAAGATGAATAACTCTCCCAAGTCGTGGCAAAACAAAGAAGAAGTGAAATATTGTTTAAGGCATGTGAAATTCTTTTACGTTTTCTAGGTTTTGTGTTTATAATGTATATGGCATTTCTGGATTTAGGGTTTATGATGTATCTGTAATTTCTGGGTTTATGGTTTATAATTGTCATTTTAATAAGTTTTCCAGGCCATCTAAGAATCATATAATTAGGTTAAGAATTCATTATAGGGGAAACTAGCATAAACACCTATAAAGTGGTACGTTAATGGATTAGTGTCCGAAATAAATTGGAAGTGGGATGTAGAGTATATGTTCTATATGCAGCTATAAGAAATGATAAGAAATTAGGGATATACCAATATCAAGTGTTTGTGGTACTATAAGCCTAGGTTTTGCTTTAGTCATGCCCTTAGACCCCTTAATTGTGATGTTGATGTTCTTAAGTTTATTGAGGATGCTAATGGGTTTGAATTGGTAGATGTGTATGTAGAGAATGTCATTGGTAATCCTGAAGTGATAGATGATGCATAATTAGTTCATGGTTATGCTGAGGTAATATACTTTAATGATGAATTTGCTCCAAGTTCTGATGATGAGAAAGTAGAAACTGAGAGGGTTGATGATGATGTGCAGTTGAGAGTGAAAATGATGAGGATGAAGTGCAAGTAGGAACTAAAAATGTTGAGGATGAAGTGCAAGTAGGGACTGAAAATGTTGAGGATGAAGTGCAAGTAGAGACTCAAAATGTTGAGGATGAAGTACAGTTAGGGAGTGATAGTTTTGACCCAGACTATGTTAGAAGTGAAGATGATGAAGATAGTGTCAGTGACAATGAGTATGACCATAGTCATGAGACTGATGATATGGAATGGACCACAGTCCTACCTTCTGATAAGTTAGTTGATACGGTGAACAATTCTGATTTGGACGATGACTCTGATGTGTTGTATACACCACCTGCTAGTGATGATGATAAGGAACATAAGAGGTTTCCAGCTTATAAAAGTGGAGAGGTATTCAAGTTTTAACTAGGTATGATGTTCAACAACAAAGAGATGGTTATGGATGCTTTGAAGGAGTATGCATTGGAGATGAAGAAAAATGTTTCTTTGAAGAAAAATTATGGAAATAGAATGGCAGTAAAATGCATGGATGGGTGCAAGTTCTACATGAGAATTTCTAAAAGGGTAGGAACCAATATTGGCAAGTTGCAAGTCTTATTAATGAACACATATGCCATAGGATTGCACATAATAGGCAAGCAAAAACAAAAATGGATGACTAAGAAATGTGCACATATTCTTAGACACAACCCTAACATGATTTACTAATAGGATTGATTGTTGAAGTTTTTGATAGATTGAGAGTGAAGTTGTCTCATGATCAGGCATATAGACCCAAAAGAAGGGTTATGGGTTTGATCTAACATACTGGTATGGACCAATTTACCCATTTAAGACGTTATGCACAAGAGTTACTAAAGTCAAACCCCAATAGTAATGTAGTGGTGCAATATGTTGATTCTAATGAAGGTTGTGTCTTTGAAAGGATTTATGTATGTTTGGATGCTTGTAAGTCTGGATTTGCAAAATATTGTTGGCCACTAATAGGTTTGGATGCATGTTTTTTTAAAAGGAGACTATGGTGGACAATTGATGGCAACTTTGGGGAGGGATGGAAACAACAAGATATGTCTTATTGCTTATGCTGTTGTGGAGGCTAAAGCAAAAGATTCTTAGGAGTGGTTCATCAACATTCTAATGGATGATCTAGAAAGCATAAACCATAAGGAATTTGCTTTTATTTCAAACCAATAGAAGGCAACCTTTTAATGTAACATCCATATGCTTTCATAGTATAAGTTTGACTGAATATAGTTTAACATCACATTTCTTATCACTTTATTTTGTTGTCAGGGCCTAGTACCACCAGTGCAAAGTGTAAGTGCACACGTGAAGCAACACCTTTGTGTGAAACATCTATATGGGGGAACTGGAAGAATAAATATCTTGGCTTGGAATTGAAAGAGGCTATGTGGGCTGCAGCAAGGGCTACAAAAATTGCGACATGGGAAAGGGAAATGTTAAGGATGAAAAGCTTGAATGAATCTGCTTGGAAGGAGATGAAAGATATTTGTGTACAACACTAGAGCAGGTCACATTTCAGGAGTTATTCTAAATGTGACCTACAGGTAAATAACATGTGTGGGGCTTTTAACAGGGCAATTCTAGAGTATAGAGATAAGCTTTTCATAACTATGTTAGAAAGGATTAAGCATTATTTGACTAAGAGGATAACTAGTCATAAGGATGCACTGAGTAAGTATAATGATGATATTTTCCATATAATATAGTTGGTGCTTGAAAAGAACAAGAAGGTTGCTGAAAATTGGACACCTACAAGGTATGGTGATGATGATTTGGCCATCTATGGTGTGACAAATGGAAATAAAACATATGTTGTTAATCTAAAAGAAGAGACATATGCTGGAAGAGAATGGGATTTAACTGGAATCACATGTTGTCATGCCATAACTTGCATATGGCAAAGCATGAAACAACCAGAAGACTATGTCTTAGAATATTACAGGTCTATGTCAGAAAGTGTGAATTGATTATTGTCATTCTATGTATGTGTATTGATTATTATCATTCTTTCATGCAGGAATATTACCTTCAAGAAGACATACTCACATATAATCTTCCCTACCAATGGGCAACAATTGCGGCCTCTTGATAACCAAGTAGCTATGAACCCACCAGCGATGAGAAGGGCGATTTTTCGCCCCAAAAAGATGCGCAACAAAGTCAATAATGAGCCTAGAAACCCACATGTTCTTCCTAGGAAGCTGCCAACCGTTACTTACCATAAGTATGGAGCAATTGGTCACAATAAGAGAAGTTTTAAAGGAAAGAGGGTTGCTAACAGAGCTATTACAAAAGGTGGAAATTCAAAGAAGGTGTAACACCCTAATTTTTGACCTTAAGATCTCACCTCCTTGTGCATTTTCTTGTGTTGAACCCCAAATTTTGACCCCCTTAGATCTTCATCATCATTCTAGGATCACTTCCATTTGTTTATCTAACCATAACCTATTTCAAGTTTGTTTTTGTTAAGATTACAGGTGAACCACGGTTCCGTACAATCGGAAATCGAAGTTTCGACGA